TATATACATAATATCCTCAATTTTGCTCTTAGTCTGCAAAACCAAGAATATTTACTATCTGGTCCTTTGAGAAAAAGTTTGCAGGTAATGTAGAGACTATGATGTTCTATTATTTTAGAACAATATACCTTTTCAGGTTGAGAGTTCAGTACGGTAATAAAGAGCAAGTTAAGTCAAATGCACAATTCAGCAGAAATTTAGTGAGCACCCACTGTATACAGAGACTAAATTAAGTTTAGTAACACATTCTTTGTTAAATGTTATCTCATATCCATCACTAAACCTTTTCCAATACATACTGAACCATAGTAATCAGATACCCTAGGATTTATTCAAAAATCCCAAACTAAATATTTAATTTAAATATTCTACCTCAAACATCAACAAAATAATCAAAATTTACTAATATGAAGAGGTGTAACTGGCTTATCCAAGAGGCAGTATGGTATAATGGAGTGACTCTGGAATAAGACAGGCTTAGATTCAAACCACAAATCTTTGGAAAGCTATGTGACACTGGGCACATTACTTAATATTTCTGAACTTCAGATTCCCCATTTGTAAAATGAGAGTAGTATCTACTTTTAGGATTATTTAAGTTTAAAAATAACTAAAGAAAATGTTAGGTACATAGTAAATATTCAACAATTGGTATCTATTGCTATTGGTATTGATTATTCCTATTGCCAGGTACAAAAACCAGTGGAAAAATGTTGGAATGATAGGTTCTTTAAAAACATTTTTGAAATCAGGGGCGCTTGGGTGGTTCAGTTGGTTAAGCGCCTGACTCTTGATTTTGGCTCAGGCCATGATCTCAGGGTGGTGAGATCGAGCCCTGCACTGGGCTCCATGCTCAGCGGGGAGTCTGCTTGAGATTCTCTCTCCCTCTGCCCCTCCCCCTGCTCACGCATGTGCTCTCTCGCTCTTGAAATAAATAAAATCTTAAAAAAAAAAAAAAGAAAAACATTTTGAAATCAAAGGTCCACAGTTATTTTTCCGAAACCCTTGGTGTTAGATGTGTTCCAGAATTCAGAATTACTTCCGATCTGAGAAAGGTAATATGATGTATATTCTGTAACAGTATGTAGAACCCCTGGGTGACCCGGAGCAACACTCTATGACTCAAACATATTAACATTTCAGCCTCCTGTCAGTTCAGTTCAGGTTTTGCTGCCAAATGAGTTCAGGCAAGATCGGATTTTGCCACCAAGTGAGTTATTTGAAAACTTTTGGGTTTCTGAATTGCTAATGAGGTATTATTCATCTATTTCATGTAGTTCAAAAGAGACAGAACAGTTACCTTACAGCTTTTTAAAAAGATAACTAAGTGCACTGAGATAATCCCACAGTAGAACCAGGTAACAGATAAGAACAGCGGACAAGAGCAGAAGTAGCAGCAGCTGCCGCGGAGCCGGTTCTAAGCACCTGCTACAGCACAGCAGGTGCTAGCAGGCAGGTGCTAGGGATCAGCTATCACACTCCGTCCTGAGGCCAACCCTGAGACACGTGAGGCTACATCTGTCTCCTACACATCGAAGAGCTCGTCGACAGTGCTGAACGGGAATCTACTGGAAACTTTAGACTTAACTTCTGGCTTTACTAGAAATACAAATCAAAGAATAAGTTAAATGACATAATGATGATCAGTAAGACAAATTCAGAATTTGGGGCATTTTCCAGGACAACTGGCCTGATTGCTCTCAAGATAAATAAATGAATAAATCATAACGTCATGGGAAAAATGGTAGAAGGCTATTTTATTTTTAAAGCTTTATTTATTTGAGAGAGAGGGCACGTGTTTGGGGGGCGAGGGGGAAGGCAGAGGGACAGGGCGGCAGAGAATCTTAGGCAGACTCGCCACTGAGGGCAGAGCCCAAAGCAGGGCTTGATCTCACCACCCTGAGATCATGACCTGGGCCAAAATCAAGAGTCGGACGCTTAAACGACTGAGCCACCCCAGTGCCCCAGCAGAAGACTATTGTAGATTAAAAGGAGCCATCATAAAATGAGACTCACGGCATCATTTGTCACCATGTATCACACACACACACACACAAAAAGTCACAAAGGTTCTCTTTAAAATACAGAATCAGAAACGGGAAGAAAAACATAGATTTAGCAAAAACTTGGTAAGAATAAGATTAGTTTACAATTACTTCCTATTTTCAATAGAATAAGCTAGGAATGGCAACAATCTGGCCCCTTCAGTCCTTGTATAGCCCAGGAGCTAAGAATGGTTTTTACACTTTAAAATTATTTCATTGTAGATGGTTAAATAAGTATATACATAATATCCTCAATTTTGCTCTTAGTCTGCAAAACCAAGAATATTTACTATCTGGTCCTTTGAGAAAAAGTTTGCAGGTAATGTAGAGACTATGATGTTCTATTATTTTAGAACAATATACCTATATGCATACTGCATACGATACATATATTTTCTAACTTTTATTCTCATATTGCTAACATTTAGAGTCCTATCTTTTAAACTAAAATGTCTAAATGACCAAGCAGGGTTAGAATTGGCAACGATCCAGCATCTAGTAATTTTAATTTCATGGTAAAAAGAACAGATGGTTTTTGTGTCACTGTTTCATAACCCTATTTCCATTGTGGGTTCAATTCCCAATGTGCTCTTCTTTGGAATTTAGAATTCAATTTAGTGCTGAAGCAATTAAAGAAGAAAAGACCTACTAAGATATTTGGCCTAACCCCCTGAAGAATAAGCTGGCTACAACTTTTATCTTTTTTAAATTATTAAAGGCAATCTAAAGAACTCTGAGATTTCCATAGAGACTACAAAATAAATTTCTGGTTGACATGCACTGCTAGCTGTTCACGTTAATGACCAAGATATTAAAAGCAATACTGCGCGTATAATATGACCTGAAGCAATAGAATGAATCACACGGGAGACTCAGACAATCCCAAAAATAGTATTAGGCTAATCAAATGGAAAAAAAAAATTAAGCCTTAGAAGCTTAAAAAAAAGCAATAGAAGTGTATATTTTTTAAAAAGTGATATATGTATACAATGGAATACTGATCAACAATAAAAAGGAATGAACTACTGCTATGTCCAAAAACATGGATGAATCTCAAAACCATCACACGGAAGGAGAAAAGCTTTACACATACCATTACTGACTAGCTCTATTTATTTGAAATTTTAGGACAAAACTAATCTACGGTAGAAAAACATCAGGACAGTGCTTCCCTGGGAAGGGATAGAAGAGAACTTTCTGGGATGATGGTAGTAATAGGTCTGCACAGGTTACAAAAGTATATGTATTTGACAAAACTTAACAAATGAATACTGAAGATTTGTGCATTTCATTATATATAAATTTCACATCAACAAATACTGAGCCCTAGTCAATTAAATTCAGGCTTAAGTATTTATGGGCAAGTATATTGACATCACAATTCACTTAAAATGAAAAAGAAAAAGAATAAATGGACAGAAAATGGATAGATCCATAATACAGTATAGGGACATAAGTACAGTAAAGGATAATATAGGAACATGTTAATGGTAGAATCTAATGGTGCACATGGGTTCACTTTGAAATTCTTACAAATTTATGTTTGAAATTTTTTAAGACAAAAACTCAGTAAGTTATGAACTGTAGCCGCAGGCAACATCTTCAATCCCGTGGGCCACTCGGCTTTGCGTGTGGCTGCGTTAGGAGAACACAGTTTGTCGGACAAAGTGAATCATTCACTACTCTTCTATCATCTATAAATCCTGCTGACCAAGAAACTGGTCTGAGAAGCACAACAGACCAAGATGCGCCCCACCTCCACTGACCTTTTGGATACCCACAGACTGTAGAATATTCAGCTTTCTTTTCCTCTGAAAGGTATCCAAGTCCCATAGCTGGGCCGTGTCGGAAGAAGTAGTGATGGCGTATCTCCCTGAGGCATGCACAGAGATCGAAAACACTGATGACTCATGGCCTCTCATCCAGCTAACGAGCTCCTTGGTAACTGTGGTGAAGAGTAAAAGTTACACAGGTAAAACACTCTATGTCATCCCAGAATGGATTCGATCGATGGCTAGGTTTTTATGAGACACCTTCATTACACTACACTACAAAAGTAAAAGCTTAGTTGGCTAGTTGATAAAACGCACAATGGAACTCATTAGTAACATGAATATCATCGACACGTGAGGAGATGAGGCCAAATGAAAAAGGGCTTAAGAACAGCTTTCAATGTGACAATAGGGAGTTTGGGCTTTCTCTTGGGAGGCATAGTTTTGTGTAGAAGAGTATCATATCTGGTGTGTATTTTAGAGCGAGCACTTTGAAGGTACATGGTGAATACATTGGGAAGAAGGAAGAGATTAGACAACTGATTTATTTGTTGCTGTGATAATCCAGGGAGGAGATAAGGAAGGTCTAAACAAAAAATGTGACAATGGAGAAAGAAACAAATTCAAGAGCTATGAGGGAGAAATTCAAAGGACTTTGTGATCAAATAGATGTGTTGAAATAAAGGATGAGGTAAGTCTTCAGTGGTTCTAGCTTAGTTATCTAACGAGATGGCAATATTAGTAACTGATTTAAGAAGTACATGAGGAGAAACAGATCCAGCAGTGTGGGAAGAAGTGATCATGAATTTGATTCTTAAAACTAATCCTGAGGTGTGTGCATGCATGTGTGAGAGAGCAACACAGAAAACAGCTGGCAAATACCGAAAACATCACGACAATTATCACTGGGTCATAGAATTATTAGTGATTTTTATGTTCTCTTTACATTTTCCTGTGTTTCCAAATTTGCTATGGTAGGCAAGTTTTACTTTCATGATCAGAATTTTTTCCTCCAGAAAGATGAAACTGAGGAGAATAGTCCGAAAGCAAGATGTAAATCTGGGAAGCATTAAGACACAAAGTAGGTTAAAACTGAAAACAGAGGGAAGAGAGAGAAACCCCTGGGGAGAGAGCAGTAGTTTCCAAACACCAGTCTAAAGTCTGGCATTAGTTAATGATCAACTCTTCACTGGTTTTCAGTGAAATGAGGAAAAAAAAGGATGATGAAATGAGGTTTTCATAAAGCTAAATTTAAAGTACTACCTTTTAATTGAGTATTATATCCTTCTAAGTTTCTTTATGTTAAAAAAAACTCACTTCGTGAAATGAAATTCTACTGTTTTTTCCAATGTCATTTGGCAAAATTAAAAGCTGACAACCCATGTGGGTTGTTCTCTACTTTTTCTTTTTAACTGAGTGAAAAATCCAAAAGTCTAGGGACCACTCAAATAACCCAGGAGAGAGCCTAGTAAGAAGCAGTCAAGAGAGGTAGGAGGAGAACCAAGAGAGAGAAGAGTATGAAAACTAAGGTCCTGCCCTAATGCAAAGTACTAAATGCTACTGAGAGGTAGAATGAAAAGTACAAAGAGGGTTTCAACAATCAGAGGTTACTAAGGACCTTAGAGGAGTCGGAGTGGGGGGGAGCAAGAATCAGAATCCGCTGTTGGAAGCTGTCAGGATTTAGCAGTGAAGAGGGAGGTGGTCAGGGAGGTGGCGACAACATTGTAAGGAAGGGCTTCATTGGCGGGGGAAGGGGCTCAACAGACAGAAGAGACTGTAAGAAGATGGACCTGGGAAGGGAGAAGAGGAGAATGGATGGAGTCCAAGGGAAGCAATCACAGATGAGTATAAACATTTAGTTTTTCAGAATTTCTGTGACAGTAGGGTCTGTAACCAAAAACTGGAGACAGTTTAAAGTCCACTGATAGGTAACAGGTTTAATAATTATGGTACTGCCAACACCTACAGAGTAGAGTATTACATGCTGATTTTAAAATACTGCATGCATTTTTAATGAGGTAAGAAAATGATTCCACAAAACAATCTAGATAGGATGATCATGTTTGTTAGAATGTAGAAGAGGTGGGGCGCCTGGGTGGCTCAGCTGGTTAAGCCTCCAACTCTTTGTTTGGGCTCAGGTCATGATCTCAGCATCGTGAGATGGAGCCCTGCATCATCAGGCTGCCTGCTCAGCAGGGAGTCTGCTTGAGAGCCTCTCTCTCTCCTTCTGCCCTCCCTCCTTGTTTGTGTGCGTGCATTTCATTTTCTCTCTCAAACAAACAAATAAATAAAATCTTAAAAAAAAAAAAGACCGTAAAAGAGATATATGCAGAAAAAACAGACTGGAAAGATAGGTCCCTACTATAAAAACATGGACTGCATCTGGGCTTTACTGAAGGATGACTAGTTTGTCTTCTTACAAGCAGTGAGGGCATAGTAGTGATTAAGAGCAGGGCCCCTGGAGCTAGGTTTCCAGGTTAGGAATCCTGGCTCCACTGCTTACAAGCCGTGGGACCTTGGTCAAGTTACTTCTGTGCCTCAGTCTCCTCATCTGCGAAATGGAAATAATATCATCCACATCTGTGGGTTTTATGACAATTAAAATTAATATGTATAAAGTCACAGAACAGTACCTGGCAAAGAGTAAACACTATGTAAGTGTTAGCTATCACAAATATTACTATGGTTATTATTATCTTTCTTTTTTTAAAAGATTTTATTTATTTATTAGAGAGAGAGAGAGGGAGAGAGAGCATCCTGAGATCATGACCTGAGCTGAAACCAAGAGTCGGACGCTTAACCAACTGAGCCACCCAGGCGCCCTGGTTATTATTATCTTTCTACATATTCTATCAATTACTATAATAACAAGAAAAAACAATACAGTTGAGATATCTTTTTTCTTAAGAGCTTCAGTTTACCGAACTCTAAATTCTCTAAAAATATACGATGTGGTATACAATACATAAGATATATTAAGAAGGTTATTATTCTTGTACCTAAGTACTAAGGAACCGGGGCTTTGTCCAGGTTCCTGGGAGGCAATCTCTAAACCCCTAGCCTCCCCAGTGACGCAGTGTCTCTGTTATTCATGGCAGGCCCCTCAGGCAATAGCAGCTGGCTGACCTAAGGACAGAACCTCAGAGTGGGGCTGGCCACATGGGAAAGACCAACCGTGGGAGTGACTGGAAGGCTGGGGCTTTGGGTCACATGATATTCGCCCAACCTCCAGAGAGAGGAGGAGGGCTGGAAATTAGAGTTCAAACCAGTAAGCAATAATCCAACCAGTCATATCTGTCATGGAGCCTCCATAAAAAGCCCTGGACCTCAAAGCTTAGGTGAATTTTTGGTTTGGCAATACTCAGCATGGACAGCCACTTACTGATGCTGGGAGGGTAATGTGTCCCTAAGGATAACGGCAGCTTCTCTTCTGGGAGCCTCCCACATTCTACCCCATTCATCCTTCCTTTTGGCTGGTTTGGATTTGTAACCTTCTGCTGCATTAAAACTATAATTGTAAGCAGAGTGCTTTCCTTAGTTCTGGGAGTCATTCTAGTGAATTATCAAACCTGATGGTAGTTGTGGGGAACCCTGAGTTTGTAAACAGCTGATCTGATGTGAGGATGGTCCCGGGACCCCTAAACTTGCAGGTGATGTCTGCAGTGAGACAGACTGGCAAACTCCTTGCAGTACCTCAGTCTAAATTTGACTCTTATTCAAAAGATAAATAGGAGGACTTCTTACCTGTATCGAAACATTTAATAGAATAATCAGCTAATGCCACAAGGAATTCAGACTTCCTACGGAGATTAAAGGCCAGAGCTGTGCAAGCTTGTGCTGTTCGCTGAACAAGATTAAACCTATTAAGAGATTACTGCATTAGTATCAGAAATTCTTCCAATAATCATAAATCTTACGTTGGAGAAGTCCTCAGATATGAAGAAAATGAAACCCAGAAAAACGAACCCTCATTTTGGTAGGCCAAAAACACATTATGAAGAGCGCTGTCTGCCACGTACACGAATTTGGAATTTACTTAACAGGTTTTAAGCTTAGTGGAATTACCACCAGCCATGTCTTTCAGGAAGAAGATTCTGGCAGCAATGGTAAATGCCCAGAAAGAAGAGATCATGAAGCAAGCTACTACAGAGCATCTCAACCAGAGCTATGGGTCTACAACGGAAACGACAAACACGACAAGAGTCAGGAGTCAAGTGGGAGAAGGGCTGGTGATGCATCAAACATGAAGTGAAGAGGGAGGAATCAAGAATTCCTCACGTGCAAAATGAAGGTAAAAAAAAGAGATGATTAAGTACTTAAGTGAACTAATACGCTGACTGAATGAAATAACATATGCTAAGTGCTTAGCAGAGTACTTGGCACACAGAGTTTTAATTTACTAAAAAATCAAGTTTTCAAGATTGGGCAAAAGAGGGACAAGTTTGGGGGTAGGAAATAAGTCTGGCTTTAAATATGTTGAGTTCAAGGCCTTCGCAAAAACATTTAGAGCTGTGCTGTCCAAGAAATATAGGGCAGGCCACAGGTGTAATTTAAAACTTTCTAGGAGCCACGTCGCAAAAGTAAAAAGAAAAAGGTAAAATTAATCTTAATAACATATTTTACTTAACACGTATTTGTCATTTCAACATTTAACCAATAAAAAATTATTGAGATATTTTATATTCTTTTTTTCATACTGAGTCTCCCAAACCCAGTGTGTATTTTACACTAACAACACATCTCAATTCGGACTAGCCCGCTTTCACGGGCTCCAGAGCTCGATGCCCCTAGTGGCTATGGCACTGGACAGCCTAAATCCAGAAGGGGGTAGAAACAGATCTGGGTTAACAGTATTTGCACGGCAGCTGAAGCCTTAGGCTTGGTGCTGACGAGATTATGAATGAGAACGTGGAAGGGAGCAGGCCAACGAAGATGCCCAAGCAGCACAACAGGTAGGCTCTGGCAGAAGAGTCAGCAAAACAAGCGGGGGAAAATGATCAGCAAAGTAGAAAAGTCAGGAAAGAGCTGTACCTTGAAGCAAAAGAAAAAAATTCCAGGGCGGAAGTGAAGACGAGTATTTAGTAAGATGAGAAAGGAAAAGAGACGAGTGGATTAGGCAAGTAAAATTTCCAAGGGGCCCCAGCATGGCGGGCATTAGAATCCGACAGGCCTGATTTCAGGTCTCAGCTCTGCCACCTGCTCCTCCACTCGGCTGTGAATATTTACAGAGAGAAAGGGACAGTGGACAAAATAAAAGAGAGGAACACTCATGGTGCCAAGTCCCAGGGGTGGCTACAAACGATCGAGATTAGCAATGGAAGAAAGCAGGATCACTTATTTCACGAATAAGCCAACCATAGGGACGGCCAGGTATCTGAGGCTGCTCTGGGGAAGAGGAAGGGAAGCTTGAAAGTGTCTCTTTGCTCATGAGTTTAGGAGGCCAGGGAGTCGAGCAAGAGTAGGGTCGTACCCAAGGAGATAAGGAAGCGGGCGAAGTCCTGGAAGCTGGGGGAGAGTGAGAGAAGTAATAACTATTGATAAAATAATAACTATTGATGAGCAAATGAAGGGAAAGCATCATTAATGCTGAAGTCCACTGTTTGGTAATGGAGTCCCTCAAGAGCAATTTTTGTTTTCTTCAGCAGTGGAAACAGAGATGAGACAGTCGTGTGGATTTAAGATTGAGAACTGGCAGGGTGCATGAGGCAAGAGTAAAAGGGTGGGAGAACTGTGACTGTTACTTTTTTGGTAAAGAGCAGAAACCGTGACTAACAGATATCTAATAGGTCACAGAGAAATTAATTATATACGACCTCTTCTTTTCCTGAACTCTTCGAGAATAAGTTACCGAGATCATGATTCTTACAAACAAGAAAATTCTCCCCTATAATCAAAATACAACTATCAAAATCAGAAAATTACATTTATATGTTACCACCGCCTAATCCTCAGACCCCATTCAGTTTTGCCACTTGTGCCCAAGAATGTCCTTGACAGCAGAAGGATCAGTCCAGACTCATGCCTTTACTTGTCATGGCTCTGGTCTTCCTCAGACTGGAACAATTCTTCTGGTTTTTCTACAACGTTCATGACCTTGACCCTCGGGAAGATTACGGGCCATCTGGTTGTATAATCCCTTAATTTCGCTTTGCCTGTCTGATGATCCCACCGATCGGATTCAGATGCCATGGTCCTGGTAGGAATACCACAAAAGTGATACTCTCCTGTTTCCACTGCGCCCTGTCAGGTGGCACACAAATTCTGATTTGTCCCACTACTCATGTAATCATTTGATAAGGTAGTGTGTCTGCTCGACTTCTTCACTGCAAAACTAACCTTTCCCCCTCTATAATTAATAAGTATTTTGTGGGGAGCTGCTTTGTGACTATGCGAGTATCCTTTCTAATCAAATTGTTTCTTGATTACAGCATGAAGTCATAGATTTCTATTTCACTCAATGGGTATGACCCCTTACTATCATTATTTATTTTGATACTCCAAGTGTCTCCAATATGGCAAGAAGGAGCTCTTTTAAGCTGACATTTATGTCCTTTGGACACTCTTTCTTTAAATAATTCCTCCTTTCTGGCTACAAAATGTTCCAGGCTCACCTTGTACTTTCCCTTGCTGCATCCTGAAACTGGCCATTTCTGCAAGGATCCCTGACTACTCTTAGCAGAGCGTGGTATTTAGAACAGAACTGGGCACTGGGTGTATTCACTGCGACTGGGGTGTTGTTGCTCCCAGGTCCTATAAGTGGACAAAACTAGGAAACATATGTACCTATAATGCATTCATTCACTCACATACTTCTATTTATTTCTATGTCTATATATTCAAAACCGGCTGTGCACTCAGATATATCCAATTCCAATCCAGTACCCCAGGGTTTGTTCTCGTTTTCTGCCTTTCCATATTTGTAACTCCCCTTTCCAATCGTTAGAAACCTGGCCCCCATTATCCTCAACATATTTACTCACTTGATCAAAGTCTCCGGTGTTTCCCATGACTGCCCCATCCCCCACACAGACACCTCCTGACTGCCAGGCAGACATGGTTCTCCCTCCCACCTACCCCCATTGCACGGATGACTCCCTCCGTCAATCCCACCTAACTGCTTCTGTACGAAACTGTTCAGCAAAGGAAGAGGAAGCAGACGAGTGAGGATCAATTCTTTAAAACTGCTAGATGTGTAAACTGAAACAATAATATACAAAGGAAATTATGCTCTTTCTAAATTACCTGATGAAGTACCAGACACTGATAAGTGAGCAAGAGTAAATTTTTAAATTTAAGGAAAAACAAGCTACTAGAGATACTGTGCAAACTGGAACTTGAATTCTCTAAAAAAATCTAACCATATTTTCTATGCTTTCCCACTTTCTTCCGTCAGCATTTATGAGTGTTTCACAAGTACCTGAAATATAGTAAGAACTTGATGAATCTTGCTGAATGAATAATTAATAAGAGGTACTAAAATTGGCAATAAATGACTTGTTAAATACGATATATATCAAAGGTATCTGCTCACCTGTTTCCATACAAGTCAAAAACATAGATATTTCCTTGATGGTCCCCAGCAATTAAGCGATCACCTGAGCTATCAAAAGCCACATTCAAAAATCGCAAGACTTTGGGAAGGTAGTCACAAGTGCTGTGAATGATGTTCACTATAATCCTGTCAGAAGCAAACAAACAATATATTTAATTCTAGGTCAAGCATTACTTATTATGAAAAATACGGCTTTTATAGTATACTTCACTAATTTTGAAGTTTCCTGCTACCCGTTCTTCCCTCTCCTGCTACTCTTCTAGAAGCAATCCCAGTGATTTCTGAAAGCAGTTGAGAAAGTTATTCATTATCAAAGTGGCTACTGTGCATATATTCATCAAATACTTGAAAATTCACTATGTGTCACACGCTGAGCAAGCTGGGGCCTGAAAGTAACTGACAGACACAGGCCCTGCCCTCAGCGAACTTTCAATTTAGTGGAGAAGACAGATATTAAAGAAACAAGCACACATATGAACAGATTCATAAACTGTGACTAAGTGATAGATAAAAACAAGATAAAAGAGAATGTATTTTTGATTTAGTCAAATTGTTACATGAAGCAATAAACACATGCGAAAGTGACAAGTAGTTTTATGTAAATCACAAGCCACCACATGTAAGAAAAGTTTCAATTCAGTATCTTAATTTTAAGATAGCTTAATGAAATTTTGTAATATAAAGTGTTCCAAAGTGAATTAAGTGTACATGAGCTCTACTTTCAGCTCTACTGGTCTAAAGTTACTATTTTTTTGAGAAGATCATGTACCATGTATCTGTTGAAAAGAAACCTGTTAGAAAACTTGCAGCACAGAATAACTAACTTCTTAAAATAATTTATATGTGTCTATTCAGGTCACGAAGATCAGAATAATCCCCTTCTTTGTTGCGACAGTAGTTTTCAAATCATGAACATTTTTATCTTAATTGACTTTTTGTGAGTTTCTGAACTCCAATCTTAGAAACACTTATCTTCCTCATTATCACTTCATTAAAAAATACTACACTGAATTAAGTGTATTAAACATTTTCTTCAGTTTAAACTTAAGGCTTTTCATTGGGTGAAACAGCAAAATTCTTACGATACTTATGTTTATCAAGTCCCTGACAAAGATTCTTTAGTCTGGCTCCTGAACCTTCTCAGAGGCACTTCATTTGTGCGCTTCCTTGTAAAATCTAATTTTAGCATGAACTCTGCTCAGTCTGTTTAATTAGAACCCCTGATCATCCTGATAACTGGTCAGTTTCTCATTCTTCACCATCTCCCAGCTGACATCTAATCACCCTGGCCTGTCTTCAGCAACAATCTCTTTAGGTTGGTTTACCCAGAACTCCCTTATCCTAGATGTTTCCTCTTAGTGATTTTCCATCCACTGCCTCCCACCCTGCTCCTTGGTGGTACATCCCCACTTGCCCAGGCTGTATCCAGAGCTGAGCCCAGTGTTATACTGAAGTCTCCTTTCCTCTATTGAAATAGAGGAATAAAATCTGTTTTTACCACTTTAACTACTGTCAAGCTCTGGTTTTCCTTTGACATCCCCAAAGGGGAGAGGGGGAGAATAAATATATTGAAATGAATAATAATATCAAAATGTTCCCCGGCAGTTAAAATCAGACAGAGTGAAGGACTTTTCCCTCAGCTCTTGTTTCTGTAACATTTACTATGTGTTTGGATTACAAAATTATTCATGATCATTGTTCAAAATAAGGAAAGTATGGAAAAACACTAAAAAATAAAACTGATTATAACCCTACCATCTAAATAATAATCACTATAATAGCAACATCCTGCCCCTCTGATTTCACATAATGCACACATATCAGCATTTATTCTAGAACAACTGCCTTTCAATTGCTCACAGGCTGTCTGACAGTTCCTCAGTCCTTAAACATAATTTAAAAATCAAATATTTACCGAACACCAAGATGCATGAGACACTATTTTAAAGTCTTTATAATGCCCTAAGACAACCCTGTCTGGCAGGCATGATTATCTTCACCTACAGTCTTAGTGATTAACTTGCCCAAGGTCACAGAACTAGTAAATGGACATTTACTTCAACTAAAGTCCATCTGACTCCTCGGTCTATGCCCCTTGCCTCTCGACACCACAACAATGGGTTTTGATGAACAGAAAAAAAGCCATGGTTTAGTGGGAGCAAATAACATTTGCATAAAACTCGTTTCTTTCCTTTTTTGAATCTTGCATGTATATCTGGATATTTTATAACAGCAAGAAATAGAATTACTGTGGGTTGGCAATAACTTTCAGAACATTTCGAGAACATAAGTAGGGGTAGTATTTACATAAACTCCAAGTTTGGAAATGAAAATCCCTACTGAAGAATCCCTACTCTAAACAGAATTTTTTATTCAATAGAGTTGATGGGACAGCAGCATTGCTAAGGGGCTGACGGCAACCAGAAACCAAACAAGCTGTTAACAACGTCCAGCCGGGTGGTTCAAGCAAGCATAGCAGGCACTTGAAGTCTGTTGATTTGTTGAGAAGCAACCAAAGGATCAACAGAACAATTACCAAGAACAGAAACATGAATTCAAGTGATGCAGCAAAGGCCATGAAATCTTAGGAAATTAAAAGTAATAGGATCGGTCTGTGTGCAGCAAATGGAAGCAAGATGGCACCACTTGGGGCAAAGGTTTCCACTTAAGTCTTGAGTGGCTAAGACTCAAACAGGTCAGGTATCTGGGATCAGAATGAAAAGAAGAGCTGGGGAGGGAGGGAAAAACAGGCAGAGCACAGAAGACTTTTAGGGCAGTGAAAATACTTTGTATGATACTATAATGGTGTATATATGTCATTGTACATTTGCCCAAACCCACAGAACACACAACACCAAAGTGAATCCTAGCATCAACTGTGGACTTCGGGTGATGATGCTGTGTCAATGCAGATTCATCAGCTGCAATAAAAACACCTCTCTGATGGGGGATACTGATTATAGGGAGGCTATGCATGTGTGAGTGCAGGGGGGTATACGGGAAAATCTCTGTCCCTTGCTCTCAATTTGGCTGTGAACCTAAAGCTGTCCTAAAAAAAAAAGAAGTCTATTTAAAAACAAACAAAAGCAACCAGCAGCAGCAGCAGCAGCAGCGCTGGCCTTACTAGAAGGGCCACCTTGCACTGTAGGATGTAACCCCCGGTCGTCACCGCCATACACGCTAACGTGTAAACGCCACAAAACCGGGAGTTTTTGTTCCACTGCTGTCCCCCAGAGCTTAGAAGCTTGGCACAGAGTAGGTGCTCAACCAACAGTTGATGGATGCATGCTTGTCTGAATATAAACGATGATTTAAAGTGGATAAGTTGCAGCATTCGGAAGGGGTAGACGTGCACTGTTCCCCTGTCCCTGCATCGTTCGTCCTGAGTTCTTTTCCAGCTGCAATCGTTAACAAATATTTGCTGAGCATCTACTGTGCGCCGGGAATGCTTCAGGGCTCCTACGATAATTCAGGCAGGCACAGCCCTGGTACAAATTCTCGCGCGCTCCTCGCCGACCCCCGGCCCACGACCGGGAAGGGGTCTCTGACGACCTCTGCGTCCGGAGCACAGCAGGACTCAGGCTACCTGCCTTTCAAGAGGTCATCCGGGCCAGGGATCCGGGGCAGGTCAGAGGCCGAGCCCGAACCTCCACCCGGCCCCCTGCACCCCTTCCCGAAACCCTCCCCAACAGCGCCTCCAACGCCTCTGCAAGGACGCAGACCCGCCCCTCGCCGGCCTCCAGGCCCGTCCGCAGCCCGCCGCCTTTACCCGTCCCGAGCGGCCGGGGAGGGCTTGCGGTGCCACAGCTTGCCGCTCTCCTTGTTGCCCAGGTCTGTGCTCTGCATGGCGAAGCCCACTCAGCCCTCGTTCCCCGCGGCCTCCCGCGCACCCCGCCCGCGGCCTGACCTGCAATGGCGGCCGCCGAGCGCGGCGCCGCGCGGCCAACGGGCGACAACCGAACCTCCCGCCGCCGTCGCCGCCGCCGCGAGCACTGCCTGCGCACTTCCGGCCTTGCGCCGCAAGCACTTCCGGGGCAGAGCACGCGAGGGCGCGCGCACGTGGGGCCGCGGCAGAGAGAGGCGAGCCCCCATCCGTAGGTGAGTTGGGGAATGGGTGTGGGAAGCTGGCGGGAGAGAAAGGAATTTGAGTTGTGGGGTGCGGCCTGAGGCCGGCGCCGGTGGAGTTCGCAGTTCCCCTTGTGCCTCGGCCTGGTGGGGGCTACTCCGTAGATTGCCGGAGAGTGAAGGGGCGGCGGAGTTCTAGCGCGCGCTTCAGATGCCCTCTTAGCCGGGCCGGGCCGAACGCGCCTGTTCTGCCCGTGGGTTCCTAACCTTGAAGGAAGACCAGTGAGGGGCAAACCAGAGTCGGCCCTTCTCTTCGCCGAGTGTGTATGTTTGCGGCGGTAGGGAGGGGATAGTTGACAGATGCCAGACTAAGTCCCGTCGCTTCCTTCCCTTGAGGAGTTCTTGGTTCTGCCTGCCCCATCAGCCTCACTTCCCTAACCTTAGCTTGAGTCTGTAATTTGGAAACTTAGCGTGCTGTAAAGTTAGGGAGAAGTGTTCGCTAAAATGCAGATTCCTAGTCTTCCTTCCCCACCCCCATCCTCCTCCCAACCAAGAGATTGGAATTCTGGAGCTGTGGAGTAGGACCCAGAATTCTGCATTTTTATTTTATTTTATTTTTAATTTTTTTTCTTTATTTGAGGGAGAGAGAGAACATGACAGGGGGCAGGGTCAGAGGGAAAAGCGGGGAGCCCGATGTGGGACTCGATCGCGGGACTCAGGACACGACCTGAGCCCAAGGCAGCGGCCCAACCAACTGAGCCACCCAGGCGCCCCTTCTGCATTTTTATTTATTTATTTTTTATTTCTTTTTAAGATTTGTCAGAGAGAGCACAAGCAGGGGGAACAGCAGGCTGAGGGAGAAGCAGGCTCCCCTCTGAGCAAGGAGCCTGATTTGGGACTCGATCCCAGGAGCCTGGGATCATGACCTGAGCCAAAGGCAGACGCTCAACGACTGAGCCACCCAGGCACCCCTGGACTGACTTTTCAAAGCAGACCCTGAATCAAAAAAATGAAGGCACCTGTCCTTATTTGTAATTCAAAATCAGAAACAACGCACAAAGTTAAACACATAGAAAAGAAAGTTTATTCTAGGTTGTCTCAATGGGAAATTCTAGATAAGTTCACAATCCTCTGCTTTGCTGGTGTGCTAAACCTGTTCATGGTTTACCAGGAGATGGTGAGGAGAAGTGGTCATCTGGTCTGTGGATGGACTGAGAGCCGGATGTGATCCCTACATGGAAATAGGAACTTGACTGGGTGCTCAGCTCAGCAGGAAGTGCTGGGGACTTGTCCATCAACTCGATGCAGATTGCCCTGAATTGGAATGAGAGTCGAGGGCCTTTAACTGTGAGCTAAGGGCTCTATGCAGAAGGGCTCTAGGTGAGGATGAAACCCCCAGGACACCGGACCAACATATCCCAACAATCCTTAACAGTTGCTAATGACTGGACTTCAATCCAACTTCAGGCCTCGGTGAAAAGCAATGTGTCCATATGAAGTAAGTGGGCAGACCTAGTTTTTGTTGGGCCTGAAGCTTACACACTTTTGGGAGGGGTGATAGCTCTTAAAAAAAAAAGGATATAAAATTATGAATAGAAAGTTAGGCAAGAGCCTTGGAAGAGCCCATGTAAGTGAAGGCCTCTGTGGCCTAAATTTGATAAGCTTCACAATCAGGTGGTCTCTGGGAGTGACAGTCTTAAAGATGCTCACATCCTTTCATCTCAGAATCCCACTCCTGGAAATCTGTTCAATAGAATTATTGAGAGGCAGTGTGGTAGAGTGGTCAAGAGCAGAAAAAGGGGCACCTGGATGACTCAGTTGGTAGAGCATGTGTCTTGATCTCGGGGTTGTAAGTTTGAGCCCCACGTTGGGTGTAGAGATTACTCAAAAATTAAGTCTTAAAAAAAATCAGAACAAAATGCAAGGTCCTTTCAATAGCCTACAGTGTCCTACCTGATTCTAAGTACCTCCCCTTCTCTGCTCTATCTCTCCCTTCTCCCCGACTTTCTCCACTCAGCCACGTTGGTCTTCGTGCTGTGAGGCCTCCATGCCAGCCAGGCTCACTTCCCCTCAGGGCGTTTGCCAATCCGGCTACCTGAATGGCTCTTCTCCAGGTATCCGCATTTCTTGCTCCTTATCTCCTTGAGATCTTTATTCAAGTATCCCTTGAGATCACAGTGGGGTCTTCCTGGACCAACCCGAATCTCCTTTGCTCTATTTATTTTTCCTGGTACTTATTAAGAGTTCATCCAGTATACATCTTACTTTTACCCTTTTCAATTGTCTTCCTGCCTCCTCTAGAATGTAAGCTCTAAGAGGGCAGAGATAGTCATCAATTTGGTTCACTGCTCTATCCACAATGCCTGGAAGAGTACCTGGTGATGTGGAAATGTTGGGGTTGGGAGCGAACAGTTAAGAAAGAATTTTTGAGGCACCTTTGGTGCAAAAAGGGTGGTTTTATTAAAGCACAGGGAGAGGACCCGTGGGCACAAAATGCTGCATTGGGGTTGCGAGGAGTGACTAATTATACGCTTTCAAGTTGGGAGGGTGTTAGGGATAGCATAAGTTTCTAAGGAATTTGGAAGCAAGGCTTCCAGGACCTGGAGGGGCTAGCTGTTGTTAGGAAAAGTTCATTTACTCCTGTCTAGTAAAACCTTAGTCATGAGACCCTTGGGCCATACGCTTGGAGGATGACTGTTAACATGTATCTTTGGGGGTAGAGATAAAGGAAATTCCCAAAGGAATTTTTATATGTTAAAGGAGACTTACAGGATCCTGGAGGTTGGGCTAATATTAAGCTAAGGCTGCCTTCTGCCCTTAGCAAAGTATTAACATCGAGGCAGCTGAGTTCCTAGAGGAAGGTCACTCTGCTTGTATCAAGGACCTGTCAATGGGCTGTAAGTTTTTAGGAAATTTAATTTTTTTCTTTTGCCTTTGTTCTCCACATCACCTGGTACCTAACACATTGCTGTGGCCTGGTGTGTCTCCCCAAAGTCTCACCACAATGTTGAAATCCTAATGCCCCGTGTGATGGTATCCAGGATGAAGGGATTTTGGGAGGCTCCACCACAATGAATGAAGTTAATGCTCTCATAAGAGAGAACTGAAAGAGTTCTCTTGTCCTTTCTACCATGTGAGGATATGATGAGAAGTCTGCAAGATGGAAGGGGACCCTCACCAGAACCTGACCATGCCGGCGCCTTGGTCTTGAACTTCTAGCCTCCAGAACTGTGAGGAATAAATCTCTGTTGTTTGTAAACCACCCAGACTAGAGCACTTTGTTGGATGGCTGAATTAAAGAGTCTTATGTTTGCACTTGCCAGACAGTGGCAAGTTACTTCACTGAGGCTGTTTCTTCAATTATAAATAAAAATAAAAGTACCTCAAAGGGTTGAAGCATTCTTTTTTTTTTTTTTTAAGATTTTATTTATTTATTTTAGAGAGGGAGCACAGAAGGAGCCAGAGGGGCAGAAGGAGGGAAAGAGAATCTCAGCGGACTCCATGCTGAGCGCAGAGCCTGATGGCAGGGCTTGATCCCAGGAACCTGAAATCATGACCTGAGCTGAAACCAAGAGTCAGATGCTTAACCAACTGCACCACCCAGGCACCCCAGGTTGAAGTGTTCTTGTGAAGACTTATTAAGACCATATCCATAAAGTGTCAAATTATTAATACTCAACACATATTATTAGTAAAAAGAAAAAGAAGCTAATTATTAGTATACAAAAACATACACATGAAGATGTTCAAGCTCTATTTAGTATTGCAAAACAGGCATCAGAAATAGGACAACGGTCAAAGGATTATGCTATACCACTAGTAGAATATTATTTAGTCATTAGAATGATAATTATGAATATGAAAGGGATTATTTTTTCCCAAATACTTCCTGCATAAACTCTGGTCCAGCCAGCCTGGTTTACTCATCCATAAAACATTGAGTGCCTCCCATGTGCTGGGCCTTTGTGTTAGTTACAAGAGTAAAACTAGTACCTATGAGATGTTTTGGAGTTTATAAAGAGCTTTTACATTTGTCGCTGAAGTATATAGCAGAGTGGTTCAAAGATGGACTCAAGTCAGACAGACCTGGATTGGAATCATCACTTATAGTTATGAGACCTTGGATGAGTTAGATGATGTCTCTCAGTTTCTGTAACAATAATAATGATTCTGTACCTACCTGTGGGGGTTAGTGTGCCCATTAAGGAAACCTCAGGCCTGGAGCTTGGTAAACGGCAGGCTCTCAATTCAAACAGGCAAACAACAAACAACTTTGATGTAGCGGCAGATGATTCTATTACTATTAGGGACTTGCCCATGGTCACACAATCAGTGATGGTCACACAATCAGCAAAGGACAGCAGCAGAACTGGAATCCAGATTCATTCCTTTATGGTATGTAGAAGGCTGACTTTATTTAGTACACAAGACCACACACACACACACACACGCGCGCGCACACGCACCCACATCAAAATAACAATGCAAAATGCTTTATATGGTGTTTAGTAACGGCCTTGTCCCCCAGCCCAGTGTTCCAAATCTTTAAAACTTCCTAGACTTATGACTAAGAATAAAGGACTGGTTCTGCCAAGCATGACAGAGATAAATTATTATTCTTGCCATAGCTTCACCTGCAAGATGGGGCTAATGAAATTGCCTACTAGTTAACATAAGGATTAATTACATCTTTGCAATGTGCTTTGAATTTCTTGAAGATGCCACTTATGTGGCAGGCATCCATTAGGATGGTGTTCTTGCGTGACTGTTGTGACAGAAGATATTTGAG